TACAGCAATCATTTTAATTTCAACAAACATCACATTGTCAGGATAAGATATTTGGTGTTTAAATTGAGAAGAGGCTACTCTATTCTGCTAGAATGCTCAGGACCTCAATGTACTTCTTTTGTAATTATTTTAAAGACAGGGAACATGCAGTTCCATAATTCTCTTACCTTCTGATAACTCATCTACATATGAATGTCATACCTTGTCTCGGAGATCTTCAATTATCTTGTAATAGTTGCTGTAGTCACGGGCGGGGCTGGTGGGAGCTTGTTTCTGATACCAGTCTCGAATTTTCACTTCTAAATCAGAATTGGCCTCTTCCAGGGCTCGTACTTTGTCCAGGTACGAAGCCAGCCGGTCATTCAGGTTCTGCATGGTTATCTTCTCATTGCCAGACAGGAGGCCATCGCCGCCACCAAAGCCACCACCAAGGTCAAATCCTCCACCAAAGCCAGCGCCGCCTCCAAAGCCAGCGCCCCCTCCAAAGCCGGAGCCCCCTCCAAAACCACAGGCTGCCCCCCCTCCAAAGCCTCCTCCATAGCCTCCCCCAAAGCCGTAGCCTCCTCCTGAAGAGGAGACGTACCTGGCTGAGGAGATGGAGACGCCGCGGCCGCCGGAGCCGCCGTGGATGCTCGGGGCCCGGCAGGCGCCCCCAGCACGCACCGAGGACAGGCGGCAGCTGCTGCCCCCGGCACCACCAAAGCCACCCCCGTAGGTGGAGGAAGAGCTCATGTAGGAAGTGGCCATGGCTGAAGAAAGAGAAAGAGCAAAGGTCAGTTCTGCAGCCTTGCAAGAGAAGACAGCTTGTGCCTTCACTGCCCTGGTGCCTCTTTTATATCCTCATGATTGGGTGTTGGGAGACAAACCCCACTGCAGCCCTGCCTCCAAAATTCCTCCTCCCTAGAGGTGAGGCCAACTGTGATGACATTCCTGACAAGCAGAGCTGGCAGCACATCGCAGGGGCTTGGGCTTGGGGTTTCTTTTTTTAATTAAACAAAAGGCATGAATCAGATGATGTTTTTTCTTCAGGCTATAGTTCTGAAACTTGGAGTTTACTTCTCTGACATTTAAGAATGGAAAAACAAAGTGAGTTCAGCCCCACCCACTTGCCTATTTACAATGCTCACCATGGCTACCTTCAGAAAATCAGCTTTTTCTAAAAATGAGACTTAAGCAAAATTCTCCTTTCGTTGAAAAATGTACAATCGTCTCTTCATCTCACTGTTATTCCTTCTTTTTTATCTGCATCTTTTTCCCTTTAAAATTTCGGAATTGAATTAGAAATGTTCTTATTCTTGATTTTTTCTTGGAACTAATATTTGGATTTTGGAGTCTGAATTTTTATTACAAAAAGCATCTATTCATGGCACTGTGTGAGGAACAATCATCATCCATCAGTGTGCAAGGGAGAGTGGAAACAGTAAATTTATTAATCACTTTGAAATAAACCAGAAAGGTAACACAGATTGAAACAACTCAGTTAAAAGAGTAAATGTGGGAGGACTAAGATCCTGTTACTTTGGAAAATGTAAAGAGAAAGGGTTTAAGATAACACAGTTCTGATAGCAATACGCGTGTTTAATGCCAATGTGCATGAGGAAATGGAGTAGCATTTGAAAATAAGGCTTGAGAAACACTCAGAAGAGGCACTTTAACCCTTCATTTAAAGCAGGAGTCTGAAACAGAAATACATTACTGAGCTAATGAATTGCCAGTGAAATTCAGGAATTCAGTCCTGCAGCCCTGCAGAGAAGGCAGATTTGGGCAGAGTGGGAGGAAGCAGGAGCTGCCCCCATGCCCTGCTGGGGTCGGGCTGTGGGCAGTGTGGAGTTTGCAGAGCACCCTGTTCTCTGCACAGCACAGAGACCTCAAATAAAGCTTAAAGAAGAAAATGTATACCTTTGCTAAAAACATCATAAGAAGAGCATTGTTTTTAGCAGTCTTTGGCAGTACAGAAACTGAGCTTAGAACTCAGGATGGGGATTTTGGATAAACCGAGGCTCACAGGAGTTGTTGGAATAAACCAGGGGGTTTCTGACATTTCCAGCTGAGATGTTAATGCAGGCACAGGGAATACACAGCATTTTCACTCGGAGATGCACACTTAGGAGGGAAGAAATGGCAGAGTCCACCTGTGATGTGTCCCCCCAGGCTGGCTCAGGGCACGGCCACTCGTTCCAGGCTGAGCAGAGCACAGGGGTGGGTGTTCACCGCTCTGGAAACATGTTTCAAACTGAACCTGGCCCTTTGCCACAGCCCTTCAGTTTTGCTGCTGGGCAGATTAATGGTCTGTGTACCTTGCCAGATCCCTGTGTCTCCAAGGGTTGGTGGCTCATGAAACAAGTTCAGACAAGCCCTCCTGAAGATAAAAAATTGTCTTAAAGACTCCTATAATCAATGCCCTGAAGTGTGTGCACTGCCAGGGGCTGTTCAACCGAGAGAGCCCACAATAAGCAAATCATATTCCATTAAAAAGACCCAAGCAACAAAACACTGCCAAATTTAGTAGGAAACTTTGGGGACTTTTCATTGAGTCTTCTTTCACTCAGGTGTGATAACTCCTTTGGAAGGTCAATGGTGAAACACACTTTACTGCTTTCTAACATGCCCCAGGTGTCATGCTGGATCAGTATCAGATGAATGCTTACAAAAACCAGGTAGCAGATAAAAGCTGTTCCCTTCTGTTGAATATTTGCCATTGGGAAACAAAATAAATCAAGCAGCCAGTACAGATCATGCCCCATAACATAATTTAGACAACAATTTCTACAGCATTTTCTCCTTACAGGCTGTACAGGGAAATAGAAGCCAATCACTTGCTGAAATTAAAAAAAAAGAATAAAAAAAAAGAAAGGCTCTTTCAAGCTTATGCCTTTATTCTGGTCTCACTACCTTTGCTCAGAGATTCCTTATCCAATGCCTTGACACATGGACTCATCCTTTGCACAGTCTCAGAATTGTACCTGTGGTACCTGAACTCCTTGGTTTGTCATCTTCCACAGGGATTTCCTGGAAGACATTCCCTGACATGTCTGTGCTGCACAAACTCTTTTGTTGCCTCTGCTGTGGGATTAATGGGGCTGACACACTCCAGCCCCTCCTCTCAGGACAGCAAGTTCCAGTCAAGCAGCAGCTTGTTTGTCATCTCAGTGATCACTCTATGAGTGATAAAACCATCACTCAGAGGAGACATGACATGCCTTCAGAAAACACTTTTTTTCCCTCAACTAGAAGCTAAAATTATAGTGCCTGAGTGATTTATATCTAACATTTTACCAGAAATCCTTCACTGCCTTAGAGATAGAGGAAAAAAATTAATAGAATTATAAAATAAAATTAGAACTAAGCCATAGAAACAAGAATTTAGGATTTTTATAGCTTGCATTCTTGGAGCATGAGAATTTCTTGTCAGACTTGCACATTTGCAGCTGGACAATACCAGAAATCTGCAACAGTGAGCTCCCACCCTGACTGGTTTTGTCACAAGAAATTGCTCTCAGGGAATGGGATTTGTTAAGATTAAAAAACAAACCTGAAGCTGTTTGTTCTTTCATATAGGGAGGTTTCCAGGTCCCGGTGTTGTAGGGAATAAGTTTGGTACAAACCATGTGTTAATGTGTCTGCACTCAGCAACTGCCTGTACTGAATGCACGAGTTCTTCTTCTCCTGGCTCTTCCAGAAGTGAACCCCACAAAAATGGGTGAACTCCTGAAGGATCCCTGGACCCCATGTGCCTCTTGGGCCATTGTTCCCTTTGATTCTGCCCATCTTTCCCCCTCTTCTCCCCATCTTGTCCCTCTCTCTGTGTCTTTTTGATTGTTCTTCTCTCCTGTCACCGTTTTCCTGTGTCAAAGTGAAGCCACTGCTAAAGGCCACCTTGCTTCATTCCAGAGGCTGAACTGGGATTGTCGGTGTCAGTAGTGACAGATGATGTTGACAGGTCACCTGAGTCACTGCTCAACCAAACCCAAGAGCCAGCACCTTTGGATTGAGGAGGATTGCCCCACCTTGAGAGAGGAGGTCCAGAGCTTGGGTGCTCTGAGCCATGTGTACACTCCGCTAATCTGCTGTGAACAAGGGATCATGGACGTTCCTCAGGACCAAGGAGAGAAGTGCTGAAAGATTTTATGATGTCTCCCTGAATCACAGACTGCAAACTGATCCACTCTGGGGGAGACCAGTGTTGGGATACTTTCAGTCTGGGTATATCCCTGTTTTCAATCCCCCCAGCTGTGGAGCAAACTGTGCCTCTGGTAACAGCAGGAGCTGGGAAGGGGCTGGTTGGGCTGGAGCCGTGGTTTGCTTTTAGCACAATCCCTGAAGGTTCCTTGGCTGTCAGTTTGGTAGCAAATAAAATCAGTGATTTCTGGCTGTTGGAACTAAAAGTGATTCCACTTGGAATTTCAGCTAGGATAATATCCTTGCAATGGCATGGAAAGTAAGTAGGCTGAAATTGGTGCTAATGCTTTGTAAGCCCTGTGTGAACAGAGAATGTAAGTGAAGAATTCTCCCAACTGCAGCTCACCCCATGTGCTCCTGCAGGAATTATCTGCGAGCCAATATTTTACTTTGTATTTTACTCTATGAAACATCTCCCAACTCCTGCTGCTCTCCAGAACCACTTCCCATCCCACTGCCCCTGCTCTGCAGAGTGCACAGCATCACAGTGAGAAACCCAGGTCACTCTTGTGTCCCCCTCCAAGGGCTGGGGATGCCACTGCCTCTGTATTCCAAGCTTCTGCCAGCAAGAGGAGCCAGCAGAATCAGGATGGAGCCTGAGCTCCCCGCACTGTGAGCCCTCTCAGGGAGGCTGGCTGGCTAATTCCTGCCTGAGTAAAGCCAAACTCCAGTGAAATATCACAATAACTCCAAAGAAGCAAAGATTGCAAGAATATAATCTTTATTTGAGTAGATGCAGCAGTTCAATACATGCAAAACCTAGAAATAATTGCAAAGCTGACCCAATATGCATCTTAATCATCGCTAAGTGAATGCCTAAACTTTGTGTGGCCAAGAACCTTCTGTGCTTCAAGAGTCATTTCCAGCAGTTCAGAGTAATTTCTCCATCTCAATCCACATGTGTTGTCGGCTTTTTCTCAGTTTGCAGATGACCTTTGAAAGACCTTCAGTGCTTGTCTCTTTTGTCTGCAGTAACATGGAGAGAAAGAACAGCAATAATTTAAGCCCAGCTCACACAGACCACTCTGTGGTGGGCGCTGAGCTTGGCTGGGGCCTCATCTGTCATTCCCTTCTCTCAGAATTTTCCTCTCCATCACCTGGATTTGACTCATCCCTTTTATGACACTGCTGACCTCTAACAGCTCAAGGCAGCTTTTACTGGCATGTTCCTGCAATTCCCCCGAGCTGGCCAAGCTTCAATTCCCGTGTCCTTTCATCTGGGGAAATGATTAAGTGTTTTGTGCTTTGCTTCAGCAGAGTCTGAGATGTTTTTCTGATATCTGACATATTTTAATTGCTGAAATTTGTTCCAATCTAACCAGAGACATAATTTTTTTTTCTAACAAATTATGCAGACCCCAGTCTCTAGAACAGACACATGTGGCTTTAGAAAATAAAACTTCTTCTGAAAAAGAAGGAATTCTTACCGGCAGTTCCCGAAAGGGAGCCAAACATCCTGTGGAACAAAGAGAACAATTGGAAGGAGAGTTAATACATCAAATTCTGCATGAGATGAGAATTGATGAAAGCAAATTATCTATCAATCAGGTGCATTTTGTGCAGTCAGGAAAGAGATGCTCATCTCCCTGCCCTCCTTCTCAGGAAAGGACAGGGAATTGTGGTAGGAAATACATTTTTAAACTGCACTGGGAAAAGACATTATGGAAAAGAAGTAACAGAGCAAACCAAAACCTTTCAAACCCTGCCTCATTTTTTTCCTCCTTGAGGCTGTGTGAGACAAGATTGAGCTGTGCTGCCATGTGGGAGTCACTCAGTGACTGCCTTCACTTCTCTTCCCAGTATTTCCTCCCTCACTGATTCCTGTTGGGTAAGAGTTCTCTACCTGGTAATAGGGAGTTTATGGGAATTTGGTAGTAATTTTTATATTTTGTAAAACATTATTAACTGCACTTTTCCTGATGTGATGCAGCTGATCACTTCAACTGTTAGTTGCAATAATCTACTGTGCTGCTTGTCAGTTCTCCTTCCTGTTTAGAAACTATTTGGGGTCTCACTTCATGTAAATGAAAACTGTAACATTTCTAGCTCCAGAAAAATTAGTTTGTTAAAAACTGTAGAACCCCAGGAGTACTGTGTTAACCAAGGTGCTGTGGCAAATGAGCACCATGACATGACATGGTCAGACTGAGCAAAAGGTTCTTACTGGGACTCCTGGCCTTCCAGGAGCTGTCGGTACGTAGCGATCTCTTGCTCCAGCCGAGTCTTGATATCCATGAGGATCTTGTACTCGGTGTTCTGGCGCTCCATGTCAGCTCTGAGCTCAGCCAGCTGTGCCTCGATGCTGCCAACCAGCCCCTGGATCTGTGCCAGCTGTGCCCCATAACGCGCTTCTGTGTCGGCCAAGGTGCCCTCCAGCGCCGCTTTCTGTCAGGGCAAACCACAGGCAGGGGAGGTTGCTGCCAGTGCAGGACTTGGTGTGGGGAGGGAAATATGGGCCCTTTTCAGTGGGGGTTGTCAGGCAGTGCCAGTTCTGACGTACCATGCTCAGCTGGGACTGCAGCTCGATCTCCAGCCCCTGCAGGGTGCGTCTCAGGTCAGTGACCTCAGACTTGCTGCTCTGCAGTTGTTCGGTGTTAACGGCGACCTCACGGTTCAGCTCTTCAGTCTGAGACAGGGAAAACACTAGGTGAGAAATGTGGGGGGCATAAAGCTGTCACAGCATTTTTCTGTGTGTTTTAATAGTTGTTTCTTTCATGGATTTTTTTGGTTGGTGTTTGTACAATATGGAGGGGTTTTACCTTGCTGTGGAACCAGGCCTCAGCATCCTTCCTGTTCTTCTCAGCCATCTGTTCATACTGGTCCCTCATATCTGCCAGGATCTTGGACAGGTCAATGCCTGGAGCAGAGTCCAGCTCAACGCTGACTTGACCGGCCACTTGTCCTCTCAGGGCACTCAGCTCCTGTGGGGAATGGCAGAGGAGACAAAAGAGGGCACAATTGTAAACTGAAAACATTATGAACCTTCTGTCCTTTCTTCAAGGGCTAAGGCTGACTAACTCCCCTGAGATACTGGCAGGAGGGATCCCAGTCTACACAGGAATCTTTCCCTCACTGAGCCCAAGGCAATCCTGAGGGACTCCACATCTCCACAGGCTGTTTTTCTAGTGCCACTTTCAAACGTGTTTCTTGGGGTTTACCTCCTCGTGGTTTTTCTTTAGGTAGGCCAGTTCCTCCTTTAATCCCTCAATCTGCAGCTCCAGGTCGGCTCTGGACAGGGTCAGCTCATCCAGGACCCGGCGCAGGCCGTTGATGTCGGCCTCCACGCCCATGCGCAGACCTTGCTCAGTCTCAAACCTTAAAAAAGCAAAGCAAACCCATCCAGGTTCACTGATCACCCAGCCCACAAGAAACACAGTATGAATGTATCTGGGTTTGTAGGATTTATGGTGTAGCAAATATCATCAAGCATTAAACCTTTCTCCACATTTTCCACATTATGCAAAAATTTTAGTTGTGCTTCTAGCAAAGACATGAAGGTTGAACTGCATGCACAGGATCAAACCAATATTGATATAGGGGTTTTAGGGGCATTCCATTCCAGTTTCACTGCCCTTTGGCTCAACAAGGATTTTTGCCTACTCATGAAATCTTTTTCCTCTCAGAAATTACTCACTTAGTTTTGAAGTCATCAGCAGCCAGCCTGGCATTGTCAATCTGCAGCACAATCCTGGCGTTATCAATGGTGGCATCAAGGATCTGCAAACAATGAGAGCTCATTACTGAGGCTGAAACAACTGTTATCAGCTTCCCTGCTGTGCAGATAAGAGTGAAGAGTCTATTTCACCTGTAGCTACAGCAAATAGAGATGTAGGGAAGGATCCATGATCTACAGCAAACACGTCACACAGATTTATCACATACTTCTGCCAGGATTCTGTTTTGGACACATCGTCGTGTCCAGTGTATGAAGTGAAAGCCAATTTAGGTAGAAGTTCCACAGTGAGACAAAACTACATGCTGGCTGAGGGGGAGAGGACTTTGAGAGACCATCTTTGATCACATTTTTATTTCCTAGAATACCAGGATGGTGTTTATTGATTATTTTAATGCATCACGAAAGCCTCTGAAGGAAATTTTATTTAAAGGAATCTCTGTTCTGTTATACCTGGAAACCATGTCTTCTATGCCTGCTGCTTCAAAACCTCAAAAGGTCATCCACAGACCAGCTGTATTGTTTCCCACCCCTAACTAAGGAGACCAAAACAAAGGAGGGAAGACTATACTAACAGGAGGAAATCCCATTGCCAGTTCTGCCATCAGGAGAGCTCAGATTTTAAATCAGGAGTGAATGTGGATGGGTTGAAGCAAGGAGAAACAACCTGCGTGGGAGCGGTCATGAACTCCAGGCTGAACTCAGAAAACTAAACCTCAAGTTTTCTTTCTTTTATTTACATAGTTAATCAGCTACTCCCTGTGTTATGCAGGGTGTGTATCACCTCAGCAATCTGTTATCAGGTACCCATGGGCTCTTGGGGCAAATCCTGCATTTATATATGGGATTGATTACTTCATGTCTGCTGTTTCCTTTTGTCCTATGCCAAATCTTTCAGTTCACTTAATTCCAAGGCTGAGTATGGGAAATGTGAAAAATAAATTACTCTGAACCCGTTTTTATTTTCATTGTTAAAGCAGTGTGTCTGGGCCTCTGAGGGTTTTCAAGCTCTATGGCAGGTGAGAGGTTGCAGAGACAGGCAGGTAGCTGTCACAGGTTGGCTCTCATTATATATCAGTTTCTATATGGTCATACATACATTAACTGGTTATATGTGTGTGCATGACCAGCATGTGTATAAACACATGCTTTGTTAAAAGCCAACATTATCAGACTTCAGTACTTGGACATCCCCCACTGACTGGTTTGTACCTCCTCTTGGCTAGCATTTCAAAAAGTAGATAATTCCATATTGACATTGATTTTAACCCCCCACCCAGTCCTTGCATTTACATCTCACCTCCCTCTCCCTCCCATGACCTGCAATGCTTTCTAGGGGTTCCCTAAGGGTATTTTTGGCTTTTCGTGCTTCCTTTGTAAGTGGAAATCTAAGATGACTTTTGATAAATATTAACACCTACCTTGTCTCGGAGGTCCTCAATAGTCTTGAAATAAGGACTGTAGTCCCGAGCTGGGCTTGGTCCTTGTTTTTGGTACCAGTTTCGGATTTTGGTTTCGAGGTCAGAGTTTGCCTCCTCGAGCGCTCGCACCTTCTCCAGGTAGGAGGCCAGGCGATCGTTCAGGCTTTGCATGGTCGCCTTTTCATTTCCCGACAGGAGCCCATCACCCCCATAGCTAAAGCTGCTGCTGAAGCTGCCTCCGCCATAGCCACCCCCCAGGCCGCTTCCTAGGCCAGAGGAGACAAACCTGGCCGAGGACACGGACACACCTCTGCCACCAGATCCCCCGTGGATGCTGGGGGCCCTGAAGCTGCCACCGAAGCGGAGGGAGGAGGCGCCGGGTCCCCCCACCACGGAGGAGCTGGTTTGCCTGAAGCTGTAACTGGCCATGGGGAGGAAGAGCAAGGACCCGACCTAAGCCGCACCTCAGCGATTCGCGATCCCGAAGCAGGAGAGTGCCCCGCTCCCCCACCGCACCGCTTTTATGCCGGTGACAATGGGAGTTGTCTCCAGAATGTGTTATCTGAGACCCATGGAATTTATCAGCCCTAAGCCTTCTGCCAACACGGCGGTTCCCCTTATTGGTCAGTGGCTGTGGAGTGGGCTGTTTCCTCCCCCAGTACCTCCACACGCGGGAGGGATCCCCTCCCCCGGACCTCTGCAGCTTGAAGCTAAAGGTGGGATTTGGAGGAGGCGTCTCCCTCCCGAGGGGAGCGTTCCTAAACCTGGTTAGAGTTTACCTACGAGGAAACAAAGGGCTTAGGAGCGCACCCACTGCGGCCAACGCCGCGGTCAGAGCGGAGTCACACAAAGCCTTGTTTTAACAGAGTGATTCAGCCTGATAACAGAGCTTGTAAGGAGCCCAAACGGTGAACAGTGTGTGTGGACCTTCACGTTCCCACCCCTCTGTTTCCCTCATTCCCCTTGAGACAATTTCTTCTTTCAGAAAGGAAGTTTTCGCTCTTTCTGTCTTTACTCTTGGTTCCGTTTGGGCTAACAGAGGATGTGCTGTGTCTGAGAGTGGTTTTGTGCAGACACAAGTATCCTCCTGAAGCAGCCATGGCTGTACTTGTAGCAGAGAAAAGCAGTGACATCCCCGAGTACCTGGGGAGTGAGCAGAAACAAGTGTCTGATTACACACTGAGTCCTTTGATTGCTACTGAAAGAGAGAAGCAAAGAGAAGAAACAGAATCACTCAGTCTTCTGGTCTTTGAGAGTTATGAAAATGTTATTTCTAAAATTTTCAGGTCCTCTATTATCCAAATGGATTTTCAAAAACTTTTGTTACTTCCTTCCTCCAAAACACTTCTGAGGAGTTCCACAGAATTTGGAGGGAATGAGAAAGAAAGAGAATGGAAGGAAAGCTCTGGCCTGGCAGCACTTGCAGCTCTTGGGAGCAGCCAGGCCTTTCTATACCCATGAAAAATGCTCCTCCAGGTGTTCCAGGCTACGCAATGAGCTGCACTCCCTGTGTACAGAGGTGTCAAACTGCAGGGCAAATTCAGGGAGGGAAAGAGCAAACAGCAAATGGGAGGCCAGCCAAGGCACCTGTATCACCAGGTAATGAGGAGGCCGTATCAGGAGGAATTCTGCAGTGACTCAGGTGTGGAATATATCACTGGATACACACAGGACGTGTACCACTCTTCAGCCCCAGGACACCACAGCAGAGCTCTTTGCTCTCTGTGCAGATTTTGCCTCCCACAGCTCTCCATCCTGCACTGCAATGCTGTGCAGCCTTTCCTCAGAGGCCCAGGGATGCTCCTGCTGCCAGAGACACACCAGTTCCTTCTGGAGACCTGAATGTCCTGTTCAGCCCTGGGTGGGACAAACCTGCCCAGCCAGTAACTGCTCCAAGGGCTGGGAACAGATGAAATATTGGTGTCGGGAGGTGACTGAGAGAAAACAACTGGGAAACAGTTATTTTTTTGTTAAATATTAAAGTCCATAATTAGAGTGTAAAGAGCACCAGTGCATGTGCTTTTCTTCACTGAACAGAAAAGCAAGAAGCTGAAAGGAGAATAAGAATAAGTGTTCTTTTTGAGATCTATGTCCTGGAGCAAGGAGAGATGAACATTTGTCCCTCCAGGTATTCCTTCAGCATTCCCTGGACTCCCATATCAGGACCTCAATGCAGTGTATTTTTGGGTTTTGCAAAATGAAAAGCTCATCTGTGATGCTGCCTAATATTTTATGATCCAGCTCATGAAAATTGCCATCTGGATGGCTTCTGGATGCCCTCTGCAATATCTTGAGTAAAAGCAGCAATCCCCATATATTGCACTGGCAGAATATTGATCAGGTACTGCAGGCAGGTTGGGTTTGCATGAGCTCACAGGGAAGAATCTCCCAAAGAATGAACTGCAAGTCTTAGTGTCAGTAAGAAGAAAGGATTGGGACACACAGTCAAATGGATTAATCTGATTTATAACACCAAATACAGCATAAGCCTCTAGTACTAAATCAGTCCCTCACACAGCAGTTTTGCTAAAACTTAATTCTAAATCTTTTGACTTTCAATTTCTGTTTCACCTTAATGGGTGCAGTGTTTGTTTTGGTAAGAGCTCCCTTAGGGTGAGAATGTGTTTTTAAATGCTTGGAAAAGCCTTCAGTACAGCAAGCTGAAGAAGGTGCTGTTAGCATTCAGTGTAAGTATCTTTTTCTGCCAGTACTATAAACCTAATTTATGGTATGGTCAGCTTTTTCCCAATAAGGAATGGTCAGCACAGGGAATTTCCCTTATCTGCACCTTATCAGAGGGGAAGGGAGACACATTTTTTCAAGCAGAGTCATCCAGACACACCCAAGCTCCTGGCTAAGACCTGGTTCTGCTTTACCTTTTATCTTCTCTGCCTTGCCAGTAACTGCTGCTTTATAAAAGCATTCCTGTTGTTTCAGGGTAGCTTTATTAATTGTCCTGTAAACCCTTTTTTCTTGCCCTTGAGGACACTGGTATATCCTTCTCTCTTTTCACATTCTGCTGAATTTGCTTCCAGGGATAGATAATGAATTACACTTTAATGAACTTACTGAACATTTTAACCAACTTTGTTGGTGCCTGCAGTTCCATGGATACATCTATGAATGAATGAGCAAAGCTAATTTATTATTCTGGATTTATCTTTTCAATTTTTAACTGTTTTTCCCTTCTGGTAATTTTTCATTTCTGCCTTTGCTTCCATCAATGAAAATATGCTGCTTTTTCACATGCACATTTTGAGTCTCCATCTCTTCTCTTGCTCACATGAACTTTTTCCACCCTCCCCACTGATCATGTCACAGGCCCTCTTAAGATCACAGCTTGGGATGTTTTTCTCCCCTTTTAAAGATCAGAGGCATGAAGTATTTGCAGCTTTTTAATTCAAGCACAAAATTTTCTATTTTTTCTTTTAAACTTCCTTGTAGGAAGAACCAGGGACAACAAGCTCTGATCTGCAGCTGGTACCAAGGTAACTGCAGTTGGTTTACCCAAGATACAATTCTTGGCTGTCTGACTTTTACAGCCCATCATAAATCTTTTTTTTTTTTTTTTTAATGCTCAAAACCTGGCATTGCTATGTATTCTGTGAATGTGCCAATAGATTGTGAGACAAGAATGCTGCTGTGCTGAAGGGGCAGGTCCCAGCACATGCACACACAGCTGTGAGTGGCTTGAGAAGAGGGAATTTGCTGAAAATGATTATTTTTGTGAAGTAGAGGGATTGTAGTGAAGGGAATGCATAATTTCTGCACTGAAAGAGGTGAGAAACAAGGTTCTGTACGGGTTCTGTGTTAACAGAAATTGTGAGAGTAAGACACAGGACATTTCTGTCAGGGCTCTGGTTTGTTCATGGCAGGACAGAAATGATGAATCAATGATTTGAGCTGACCCAGAATGATTCCTGCCCAAGCTGCTGCAGTGCTATTGGGGCACAGAATTTAATGTCTCAATGACTGCCATTTATAGAACATTTAAACAGATTGGTATGAGGAAAATAAATAGAAGATTCTCCTGAAGAGCTCAAGCACTTTAACTGGGAGCAGTGTAAATATTTCACAAATCCTTGAAACTGGCTGTGGTGTGGAAATGCTTCATTATTGTCCCTGTTTCCCTAGAAACATAACTAACTTTAAACTCCTGACTCCTCCATCATTCCAGAACTCTAATGATAAAGCAAATCACGGAGTAAAGTACCTGAGACAGGAAAATAAACCAAATTTTCTTATCGTGTGATAAAGATTGTGTGGGAAGGAAGGCTCAGTTGGGGCACCAAGCCCTGGGGAGTGCAAGCCAGCTCACTGATGTGCTTTCACACTTCCTTTAACCTGTTATCTGGCTGGTAAATCTCAGCAAGGTATGATTGGGCTGGAAACTATTATTTGAGAGTCAAACACCCAACTGACAGGAGGATGTGTTCCAAAAGTCAGGTTTCTGCAGGCAGCAGCAAAGGCAGCGCAGGGGCTCTGCCAGAGCCCAAGGGACTGAAGCTGTCCCAGGCTGGGGAGCTGAGGCTGTTGGACTCCTGCCATGGCCTCTGCGTGCTGCACTCAGGGAGCAGCCCTGGGGCTATCCACTGGGATCTTCCCATACACCACATGGAAAATTCCTGCTCAAAAATAAATCCTAGACCTGGGAGGGACACACAGTAGGATGGGGCTCATAGCCCAGAGCTGAGCTGTTCTATTCTGTTCCCATCAGTAAAGCATTGGTGTGTCTATTATTTATATCTCTGTGCTCATATATTTACATGATTTTACTTGTATTTATAGACTTATATATTATTATTTCTCTTGTTAATTTTGTAAGAATATATTCTGATCACAGGAGTAAGCCACAGCTTCCAGTAAAGGCAGAGATTTGACTGTGCAAGCCTTAAACATTAGTTTAAACATTAGTTCTGGGTCTAATTAGAAAAGAAGGAGCTCTCTTAGCACCCTCCTGGTTGATCCTTGGTTTAATTAGAAAACAAGGAGTTCTCTTGGCACCCTTCTGGTGGATCCTTGGTCTAATTAGAAAACAAGGAGCTCTCTTAGTACCCTCCTGGTTGATCCTTGGTTTAATTAGAAAACAAGGAGCTCTCTTAGTACCCTCCTGATGGATCCTTGGTCTAATTAGAAAACAAGGAGCTCTCTTAGTACCCTCCTGGTGGATCCTTGGTTTAATTAGAAAACAAGGAGCTCTCTTAGTACCCTCCTGGTGGATCCTTGTATTTGGGCTTTCCTGATCCTACTGCTGGTTTCATGCTCAGTATTTCTTGACAGGAATTCTCAGAGCCTGAAGATCTCTGGTGGGGCTCAGTGAGAAATTCCAACTGTAGCTCTCTCTATGAGGGCAAGTCCTGCAGCCTCTGCTTTGTGGAGCTGCTGCCAGGGAGGTGCTTTTAACACTTGGTCCTCATGGCAGCTCTGAGCCCATGGAAACCCCTTTGGAGCCCTGCTCCTGCCTGCCCTGGCTGGTCACACAGCTTTAAGGGAACAAAAGGGGATTTCTCAGTACTTTTGACAGTTTATGCCTCTTTATAAAGGACTGTGTTACTCATGTTTGTGTGTACCAGGAAAGTCCCTTCCTGGGCAGTCCTGGCTGCTACCTTAACTAAGAGCCCTGGTTTTCCACCAGACTCTGACACCCATATTCAGCTTTAAGTCTTCCTTTAATTAAAAACTGGGGTTTGTGGCAACTGCCTTTTGTTTTGGGCAGCCCACCGCCAGCAAAGCAAGTGACCAAAGTGCTTTCTGAGTGCTTTTTCATGCTTTCCTAATGGATTCAGCTTATTTAATAACTGAGAAAAATCTGGTGACATGATTTCTAACAACATTTTCGACAGAAAGGAGTTGTTGGAATTTATTTAAAATCTTTATGTGTGTGTGAGTGCTGTGAACTTTTGGGTACAGCTGTGATTTTCAATAGTCTGACATCAGGCTGTGGGAAAGCACTGGACTAAGACTGGGAATGTTGTCAGAAAATGCTGATTGCTGAGGCTGTGGTAGCTTTGATGCCAGCCCTGCATGGGCTGGGAATGCAGGTGTGTGCAGGGAAAGGTGTTCCCTGGAGCCAGGCTTGGCAGAGCCACGGGAGCGTGGGCTCCCAACTGCTCCATTAGGAGTAATTGCAGCGTGCAGAAACCTCTCTTTAGGCACTGCTAAAACAGCTCTGAGAGTCAGCTCCAGTGGCACTTTTGGGGTTCCCTGTGGCAGGAAGGAAATTATGAATCTGACTCCATGTTTTAAAAGGCTAATTTGTTATTTTATGATATTTTATTATATAAAAGAATACTATACTAAAACTATACTAAAGAATAGAGAAAGGGTACTTGCAGAAGGCTTAACAAGGATGATAATGAACACTCGTGACTCCTTCCAGAGTCCAGCCTGACCATGATTGGTCATTAAGTCAAAACAATTCACATGTTGGATAAACAATCTCCAACTCCAACACAGGAGAAGCAAATCAGATAATTATTTTATTTTTTCTCTGAGGCTTCTCAGCTTCCTAGGAGAAGAATCTTGGGCAAAGAGGATTTTTTCAGAAAATATGACAGTGACAAGCTCTGCTGTGCCTGAGACTACGTGTTTGCTGTCACTTGTGCTTTATCATGGAATCATGGAATGCTTTGGGTGGGAAGGGACCTCAGAGCTCATCCAGTCCCACCCTCTGCCACAGGCAGGGACACCTTCCACTAGAACAGGTTGATGCAGGCCATGAACACCTCCAGGGATACAGCAGCCACAATGTGGAAACACAAAGAAATTCCAAGGTTTGTTGGGATTAGCACTCCAAAGTTTTATATGTGATGTGCAACCTAACAGAAATTGTTAAGAAAGGATTTTCCTGCATGAATTCTCATACTTACTTAACTTGGCTGCTGCTATTTTTCATGGTTATGGTGGGCTGGTAAATGTCAGAAATATCACAGGAGCAGCTTCCTTTCCTCCTGCTGTTTGTTACAGGCACAGTGAGTCAGAGTTTCTTTTCTCATTCCTTGAGTCGGTGGTGGGCCCAGAGGGAACTCTGCCTTGTCACCTCTGTGGTTCCATTTCCTTGTAGCCAGGAGTGCCAGAGCCTGGCAGGACTGTGCACAAAGGCACCAGGAGTAGCAGTGGGCTGCTGTACCTGTCCATACCTGACAGCTGCCCTTGCAAATGGAAGCATTGCTGTGGGTCTCAATTCTGTGTGTCAGAATCCTGATGCAGAATGAAGCCCCTTGGAGAACCCAGTCCACTCAGTTCTGGTTCTTTTCTTGAATTTCTGCCCATACAGACATTTCACCCTTTGATCTTCATGAAACCCCCTGAAAATGTTGGATTTTCCACCTGGACATGATTCATTCCCAGAATTGAGTCACCAACCCTGGGATTTGGGGCCTGGGAAGCGGCAGCGGCACAGAGCGCCCCCTGCAGGCCCGGCTGTTAAGCACAGCCACCGAATCCAAGGGGTGAAATAAAAATAAAACCGTGCCGATTTTCCTCTTAATGAATCTGTGCTTTCCTTGTACGAACCGCGTCCCAGGCCTGAGGCTTTAATTTAATTTTGGGAGTGTTTCGAGCAGTTTGTGTCACAAAACCTACTTGTTGTTTCCTTAACTGCCGTCAGAGGATGCCAGGGAGCCGACCCAAATGGACGGACACTCTGTCACCCACAGATAAATCCTTTTCCTGGTACGGGGCTGTGGGACACGCCACTGGAGCAGGATAAGGCTCAATAACAGCATTCCCTCATGCTGCCACTGCAAACGTGTCCCACCTCAAAGAGAGCAGAAGGGAAGCAGGAGACTCAGGAATGTTCCCAACAGGCAGCCTAGAGCACAAATGGCTCCTTTCTGGGATTACAGACATTCTTCCTAGTTAAACTGTGCCTAAAAACGTATTTGATCCCAAAGTCCATTATAGCTGGTTAGTGCTGGGGGGGTTTTGGGATAGTCAGCATTGGTTGATAAGAGAGAGGAGTAAAAGGGATCATAAGGCAGAAGAATCTCTGTTACTTGTGCAGAGCAGATGAGTCCTGTTGTGACTCCAAGGAGTGGCAGATCTGCTTTGACATTACAAACCTTTGTTTCCCATGGAAATATTTTCTCTGACTCATCCCTTTCCTGCTGTGCTGAGAATTCAGCCTGGATTGTAACATGGAACAGTTTGATGTATTTTAAAATAATACCTTGTTATCCAAAATGATGATGTTTTACCTGTCCTGACTCTTTGCAAACCAAAGTGTAAGTGTAAAGCTGCGTGACAGGATAAGAAATGTCGATGATTTAGGAGGTGTTCAGGGAACAATGGAGCCTCTGAGACCCACCCAGGGTCTGGGGCAGGGCAGCAGTGGAGTCACTCCCTGCTATGTGGCCGACCCTGTTCAGCAGCTTCCTTAGCCCTGCAAATCAAACACTGAAATGCAGATTTCTCTGTTTGAAATGACTGAGATATTTCACCCGTTTTATTCCTCTGTTGAGCCCAAATAAGCTGAGTGTGGAACACGAAGTGGGGCAGGTTTAGTGACAAAGCTTGAACCTTGCCTGCACTGTGCCATTCTCCACCCAGAGTTCCACACAGCACAGATCTGGGAATGATCCTATGGGATATAGGAACACACTCCTCCATCTGGAACTTCCAGATAAAAGACTTGAGCTCAGATTTTCCAACGTGTCAGGAGGAATAATCCCAACAACTAAATGTTGGGTTAGTAGAACTTTCATACTCCTCACTCATTTCCTGATCTAACCCTTTGCTTAATTGATAAAGATTAGACAGAGCTCTCACCCAGAAGCTGGGAAAGGGCTGCCTGAATAGGACTTCTTGTTCTTGTTCAGTGACTAAGGAAAAGTGATTTTGATTTGACAAAATTTGCATGAAATTTTGGGGTTATTTAATCCTGATTTTTCACTTCAGCTGCTGAATTGGCAAATCAACTACTTGCACACCCCTTGCAACACATTCTATGAAGAAGGGGTTCCCTCACCCCTTTCTGTTCCCCATAGGTGTCACCCTTGAGTTTAATGTGGATGTGTTTCTTCATCTCCAGGATTTATCCAGTCATCATATGATTTAGAATTCACGTATTTCTTTGGAGCCATATTACACAATTCATGCAACCTTAATTTCTTTGTGTGCCTGACTTGTTACACCTAAGTGTAAATAGAATATTAATATACCAAAGAGACTGCTGGACACAGAGTTTTCTTTGCATTGCAGAAAGATAAAGCTTTATTCAAGGAATTGTTGTTCAGTAGAGAACCAAGTGCACTGCAGAAACCTGTGTGTGAGCACACTGATCACAATGCTGGACAAGATCTAAAGGGAGGGGTAGATAGTTTTAGGAAAAGCCTAGTAATTATGAAATTTGATTTCATGAATAGCATTTGGAGAGCAGTCTGTGCATGGCGTAGGTCACACCATGCTGAGGGCCGGCTGCTCCCACGGCACCGACTGGATCAGGGAAGCCCAACAGGTCACTGGCATCTTAACACACTCTTGACTGTCCTGTGGAAAGAAAGAAGAAACCATGGCTCTGATAGGGAAACCAAGAGTCTCTTTGCAGCACTGACATTTCAGATCCATCCACCATTTAAATATTCATTTGTTAGCAAAAGCATGGGAAAGGAGCTTAGCCTGTCTCTGGAATTGGAGCCAAACCACTTTGAAATGAAGAGCTTTGATTGTGAATGGTTTAATCCCTGCTGCAATTGCAGATGTGGAAACCATAGCACAAGGTTGGTATTAACAGGAAAAGGGATGAAACACAAAATGTGAAAGCCATAAGTTCGGATGCTCTTTGAAAGATGTTTCTTACCTGCCTTGTCACTAGATTGACCATGACAGTAGGAACTAGAAGAGTGGGAGGACATACCTCCTCCTTGGAGAGCTCCTTGACATGATCTGTAAAAGGAAAGGAGTTTTAATTAAGGGAGCAATAAATACATACTGACATCATGTGCAGTGAATGTAACAACTCAGATTTTCCTGGATCTTGCAAATGTATTTTTATATATATATTTTCATTTCATTCAATTCAGCTGTATTTTCCTAGAAAATTGTAAAAGCAGAGACAGCAAGAGACTGCTGCAGTAAAATTCTTGTACTCTCACAGTCCAGCTGTGCTTATTTGTCTGCTGAAAGAAGGAACTTCATTACAATTTGGTTTGGCACAGTGATTCCTCTCATGGAATTCACTCTGTGCAAACAGGTCAAGAGGAACTGATTAACTCAAAACCTGGCAGTAACAATCTGCTCTGTGTTTCCCTTGATGTTTGATCTGATGATGAGGTTTTTGATAGACACATTTCAATGCAGATGCTGTGAATAAAAGCTGCTGAACTTAGATTTCAGCTAGAGACAAGTAAAATATTCTGCTCTATCTTCTGTAAGTGCCAAGAGAGAAAAGCTTGTGATAAAATTGGTGCCCTTATTTGCGAACAGAGAACATACACAAGATCCTGCTGCCCCTCCTGCAGCAGCGACCGGTACTGCTGGATCTCCTGCTCCAGGCGCATCTTGATGCCCAGGAGCATCTTGTACTCCTGGCTCTGACCCTCAATCTCACAGCGGATGCTGCCCAGCTCCTCCTCCACGGAGCAGACCTGCGCCTGGATTTGTTGGAGCATGCGGCCGTAGCGAGACTCGGTTTCTGCCAGGGAGTTTTCCAGAGAGCTTTTCTGGAAAGGCAAACACAGGAGGTGAGGAGCAGAGTTCTACAGCTGCCTGCCCGTGCCAGGGAGGGAAGGGCCTGCAGATGCTGCCCGCGTACCGTGCTGAGCTGTGCCTGCAGCTCGATCTCCAGGTTCTGCATCTCGCGCCTCAGCTCGCTCAGCTGGTGGCTGCTGGTCTGGATGTCCTGGCTGCTGGAAGTGACCTGCTGATTGACTTCTTGGATCTGCAGAGTCAAAGCCCAGAGACACTTGCTGAGCCACAAGGGAGCAGATTTGCTGAATGAGAGCTCACACCTGCAGGGAGCCTCTCCCTTTCAGTCAGTCCCGGTACCAGGGTGTCTGGGCTGTGCCACCAAAGGAGACTCCACTCTGGACATTGCTACATACCTTGACTTCATACCACTGCTCCACTTCCTTGCGGTTCCTTGCAATGATCTGCTCATATTCATCTCTCAGGTCATTCAGGATCTTTGTCAAGTCTTGTCCAGGGGCAGCATTGACCTCCACGCTCACGTCGCCACCAGTTTGGGACTGGAGCTGCCTCATTTCCTGCAGGGAGTGCAGAGAGAGAGACAAGAGCACACACAGGTCATTTGTTCTGCTAGGGCAAAGCACTACAAATGGACAAAGGAACAACAATCTCATGGCATAAGGTGAAAATCACTTGATATGTGATGATGGGGGCCATGAAGAATCAATGGATTGTGTCTTTGGCTGTGCTATTTATCATTGGATCGTACCTCCTCATGGTTTCTCTTGAGAGCAGTCAGCTCATCCCTCAAGGACTCCAGCTCAGATTCCAGGGAAGACCGAGTGCTAGTGAGACCATCCAGGATGTTTCTCAGGCCATTGATGTCAGCCTCCACGGTCTGACGGATGACCAGCTCATTCTCATACCTGTACCAAAGGAAAGCAAAGCATTGCACACTCATTTCATTTCGATGTGTAGGCTTGATCACACCACTTTAGACAGGGCTGCATCCACCTGCATTCATGAGTCTCATAAAATTTGTGACACAAAAGAGGCAAGGTTCACAGGGAGCTACTCACTTCATTCTGAAGTCATCAGCAGTCATCTTGCTGTTGTCAATGTCCAGAATCATCCTGTTGTTGTCCACAGTGGCAGAAATAATCTGCAAAAGGGGAAGGTGGACAGGTGTCCTTCTGTGTTCTAGATTTCCAGAATCTAGAACAGGTAGAACACTCTACCAAAGAACACTTTGATAAAAAGAAAGTGAAAAGCAGAAAAAAGACACAAAGCTCTGGTAAAGTGTTACTGATTGTTTTATAGAGTAGTGAAGGGGCCTCAGTAAGTTCCTCAGTTGCCATGCCATACAGACTGGTGTGTGCAAGGTTTTGGCTTTCCAAAGATTTTGCTGAAAGAGTATATTGATGGGGGGAAAGAACAGAAGAACATTTATTCTGGGAGATGGCCAAGCCCCATGGGGTTCTGCACTCTGGGTGTAGGAGGCAGCGTGGGCTTGCCCAATGCTGTAAGTCATCTCATTGTGAAAACAGTTGATTGTAAGGGAAGACCTCAGTCCTTCGACCTATCTGTAGGAGTGTGAAGGGACAAAGGGAGCTCAGATCCTTCCATCCAGGTGCTTTGGCTTTGCACTCCCATCCAGCTGATGTGGCTGGGAGCAGAGGGAAGCACTGCAAACCACACATGGCTGGTTTGGAGGCACCTGCACAAGGTGGGATGTTCATGGCGTGAGCCAGCGTGTCTGTGGCTGCTGGAGCTGCTGGTGCCTCGGGCTGTGCCCTGCTGCCTGGGGGCTGCTCTGAGGGTTTGCTCAGCCAGGGGATGGATGGGAGGTGCAGCTCAGCAGGTTTGTGCCTGAGGTACCAACAGCACGGCCATCCTACAGGTGGTAGAGCCAGTGTTGAGGACAGAGGGAGGAGGAAAAAGCAAAGAGGAAGGAGGAAGGCCTTAGAGGAGAGAGGAGCATGTGGGAGATGGAGCCAGGATGATCCTACCTGATTCTGGAGTTGTTCGATGGTCTGGTAGTAGGAGCTGTAGTCCTTGGAGACGCTGGGAGCTTGTTTCCTGTACCACTCGCGGATGTGGTGCTCAAGCTGAGCGTTCTCTTCCTCCAGCATGCGCACCTTGTCCAGGTAAGAGGCCAGGCGGTCGTTGAGGTTCTGCATGGTGACCTTCTCATTGCCGCCGAGCAGCAGGTCCCCCCCGGGGCCGCAGATCCCCGCAGAGCCCCCGCCGAAGCCCCCGCCGAAGCCCCCGCCGAAGCCCCCGCCGAAGCCCCCGGCCATGCTGCCCATGCTGAGGCCGCCGCCGTAGCTGCCCCCGCCGATGACGGAGGAGGCGTAGCGCCGGCAGGACACGGAGGAGCTGCGGCCGCTGCTGCCCCCGCAGGCACCGCCGCCTCCTCCTCCGCTCCTGTACGAGGTGCTGGACGTTCTCTTGATGCTGCAGCTCATGGTGAAAGGAGCAGATGTTCAGCTCCAGGTGCGAAGCTGTGCACAGCGAGATTCAGGAAATCAAAGTGCAGCGGGCTGTCCTTGCTGGTGGCTCTTTATACCTGCCCAGGTGGGTGTCACCTGCCAGGCAGTCCAGCTTCCCATGGGGCTTGCCAGCCATAGTGCTCATGCAGAAAGTGATGTGCTAAGGGGAATTTCTTTTGGGGCTTGGGACAGCCCTCCCCCCAGGTACTGGGTTTGCATGCTGATTCACCCCAAGCCTGCACTGCAATTTCGGGTGGGTGGCTGTGAGTTAGATTTTGTTGGAGATATCTCGTTGCTGGCTACTTAGTGAGTGAGACTCATTTTAATAGTTGTTCTTTGTTCTTTGGAGTAATTTTCTTTTGTCCTCAAAACAGGTGGTGAAAGCACCACCTAATCACTCTGCTTTAATTTCAGATTTGGAGAAGTATGAACTCAAACACCCTTCGTGTGAGGCTGGTTCAAATTCACCTCAGAACTGCCACTTCTGGAAACAGAATCTCTTAAGAAGTTCTGTTTTAGGTCAGGATCTAGAGTTCAGGTTTTTTTCCCTAGAAAAGAAAGCTCACTGTGGGCACTGTCTCTCAGAGTACTTAGTGGTAAATCACAGGGGAATGAGCTTAACAGCAGCTGTGTTATTTCTGTTCTCACCAAACTCTGGTGGTATCAGTTACAGGAAATTCTCCTGTCTCATGCTCTGGTATGCATGCAGTAATGCCGTTTTAAAGTTGTGAGTTTTTAAACATTTTTGTGCATATTTCCAATCACTCAGAGGTTATCTTAAACTGAAATATGTACATGAAGTCTCTATGGCTGCATTGGCTGTATCCTGGGAGAGAAGAGGACTTGGCTTGGCCAGATAGAGGCTGAGATTGTTATCAGTTGGTTCTTGAGGAAGGAGGAACCAGGGCTCTTTGAAATACAGAACAATCCTATTGTCCATGTAGGAAAGGGCACAGTCTGGATTTGAGTGTGTTTGGGCTAGAAACTAAGGGGAAATTTTTAACTTTGAGAGGCGGAAGGATCTTGAAGAGTTTCCATTGCAGGAGCTGTGGATGGAAGAGAGAGTTTCAAATCTGATCTAGTCAATCGATGTTGGGGATTTTATCCTTGTATAACAGAGTCAGCTGGGATGACCTTCTAGATCCCCCTTACCTTCAGTCTTTTGTCCCTTTGTGCTGCACCACTGCACCATGTTGGTAAGGGGGCAGATTGTGGTAAGCCCTTCTTTGGAAAGGAAATTTTGCCTTTAAATAACTTTTGGAAAACGTAAATTTTAAGCCTGAATGACAAGGGGTCTCATTATGTGAGGGTTGAACTTTGATGGAAATGCATCTCTACTTGGAAGTTATAATTTACTCATTTTTTTGTGGTTGGTTTCTCCATTTATGCTGTTACTTACACACACCCTGCAGTTGTGGCTCAAGCAGGATTTTTTTTTTCTTAGCCACAGTGATTATTAGATCCATAAAGTTACTAATGTGTTATGGCTGACTGAAGGATCATGGAAAACCATTCACCCTCTTTCTTGACACACCACCACCCCCATATCACAGAGCCTTTGATCTACATAATTATGATTGTTGTTTTATTGGTAGCTCTCTAATTATCCACACGTCAGAACCAGATGCTTTGCATATGTTATTGAGACTGAGTCATCTTTATTAAAAAATAAAAATTATTTTCTCACAGGGTGTGATTCCTTAGTCATATTTTCCTCATTAGATTGTTGAAATGCACTTTTATTCTCCCCTATGAGAAGTTTATTGCTGATTGGTGTTAGTGCCAGAGGTGTTGATTTTATATCTCCTTCTCAGCATCGTTGCATCACAAAACCCGGCCCAACAATTTCTGACATTTCCCAATGCTGTAATTTCATTCTGTCACCAGGTGCCTTTTCTCTGTCTCTCTGTTCCTCTCCTCTTTTTTGAATAGGTGCTCTAACCATCCTTACTGCCGTAACTGCATCCCAAACATTTAATCTCTAGACTGTTCTGTAATTTGGGGGTATTTCCTTGTCTCCATGTGCATTTCTGGCCACTGTCCTGGGGCTCTTGGCCTGAGTTGGCTGTTGTGAGTGAGTTTGGACCTGCTGATTTACCTCACAAGCCAGAAGAGCCAAGACTGTTCAGGAGCCATTACCTTTCACGATGGACAAGCAGGTCAGACATGTTCTACTGTAGATGTTGAGGCTCCTCAGCCATTCAAAGGCACTGTAAGAGCTTTGAAATCACATTTTCCTCTGGCAGACCCTTTGCTCATAGTGTGCCCCATGGACCTCTGCACGTCAGAAGTTTGTTTGAAGTAGGAGTGCTGTGAATCCTTTCCCAGTGCTGTTTACTCACTGGTGAAGTTGGATGTTCCAAATTGGCAGAGGAGCCAAAAGCAGCCTGTGGTTTCCACAGAGACTGTGATGCCATTACTGGATGGATGTCTTCAGTCACACTAGAGGGAGAGAACAATCCTAGATACAATTACTGGTAATTAATTGTTTTACAGTAAATGAGTCAAATGTGGTCTTGGTAAGAAGAGCGCAACTCCCAAGAGTTTCATCAGGAACTCTGTTTGTGCATTCCTCATCCATTGTCCTGCAGCATCACTCAACCTGAGCATTTGCTCAGTTCATCCAGAGCTATAGGATTTCATTTCACTCAACCTGAGCATTTGCTCAGCTCATCCAGAGCTATAGGATTTCATTTCACTCAACCTGAGCATTTGCTCAGTTCATTCAGAGCTATAGGATTTCATTTCACTCAACCTGAGCGTTTGCTCAGTTCATCCAGAGCTATAGGATTTCATTTCACTCAACCTGAGCATTTGCTCAGTTCATTCAGAGCTATAGGATTTCCACAACCCCTCATTCTGGTCCCATCTTCCTCTTATGTCACTCCATGCGGTGGGCTCATAAACTTGTGTATGTATAGACCTACAGAAAATCCTATTAAGTGTGAGCTATTTTAATTCCACAGCTGATCTAAATCATTACTCATAGTCCTTCCTACCACTGAAAAAGGACAAATTTAGAGATGCTTCCCAAGGGAAATTAAGCTGTTCCAGCAGAAGGATCCTTTCCTGTTCCAATTTCTTTCTTCCTGCTTCCATGCGCTCCTGTTATTGATGATGGCAACTAATTGAATTCTAAATTCCTCAGTTATAGACATTTTCTGTAGTTTAAGGTTCAATAATATGGCTTTAAAAGATGTCTCCTTCAGCTGCTTTGGGTACAGTAAACACAGCTGAGACCTGAGTGAGCTCTGGCAGCCTCTAGAGACAAAAGTCATGTTTGCATTTGCTTTACATCACTTTCTATACAGTTAAAATCTGAAATGAGCTTTTTATTAATTGTAGACAGGCTTTTATTCACACAAATTCCTGATGCTGGACTGATAAAAGTCATTTTTTCAACAGAAGTAGAAAATGTATACTTTCTGGGCACACTGCAGGCTGCAGTCAGGGTGCTGTGCTGGCAGAGGCATGTGGTTACTGAGAGAAGACCTAAACAAAATCAAACTCTTCTATGTTGGTTGTGATGAGAAAATGTTTAATTGCATTACCCTAACAGATCTATCCTTCGGTGTGAAATGAAATGGGAAATACCAGAAACCAGGTTTAATCAGTGGGAAGGCACAAACAGGCACCTGTAAGTGATACATGGTTGATTTCATGTATCTGGTGCACAACAGTCAGGGACTGAAAGGGGCTTCACTGTGATCTTCAGAAAGCAAAATACATCTAAAGGAGCTGCCCTAATTTAGTATTGCTGTCTCATCTCTAATTTTGTTGCATATTTTATGTTCTTAAGCAGTAAAATATAGTAAATACCTTCAGTGAAAGGAATGTGTCTCATTTCTCTTAAGGCAGAGTATCAGCCAGCTCTGTGTACTAACAGAAATTGGGTTCTTGGTATTAGATCAGTATTTAAATAGAAATTTCTATCATAAACACTGGAATGTTTTTGGTGCATGACACTGAAGGGAACAGATCCATTGTCTTGCTGTGTGTTTCTCCCAACAGAAGTCAGCAATACGTCATTCTCTGTGCAACAGAAGGTGTAGAAATACTTGTGAGGAAGCCCCTTCATACTGGAAGAACCTCTCCTGAGTCACACCTTCCTTCCCACAGTACTCTGGCTGTGATGAGATCAATGGACTCAGATAACTCACAGTAGTACCATTGGGCACAGTTTAGTAAATTAACAGTTAATCTCCTGATAGTTACCCATCATTTGTATTTTCTTTCTCCTTTCACTCACATAATTCATTCTCTTTAGTACAAGTAGCAAGGCAAGGGGCCAGAAAGCAATCCCTTAGTGACCATTAAGAAACAAAATTGTAAATGTTTTTTGACATCTCAGGAAGGAGAAAAATTGTGGCAAGAACTGACAACTAGATTTCTCTTTGCAGCCTTATACCTCTTGCTTGTGAAGAGAGAGTTCTGCCAGCCTCACCCAGCAGTTCCCCTCGGCAGAGGCTGGCTGTTGTCTCACCCCACGCAGCCATGGTCACAATTCCTGGTATTTCCTTTCACTCAGTGCTTCTATCCCAGCACTGTGTCCATTTTCCTAGTGCAGAATGGACTGTTGTGAGATCATGTACCCAGTACAACTCCACAGCCTGTATCTACTGGATGATCTGGATAAGTACCCCCACGAGGTTGGTTACATTTATTTTCTCAGACATGTTGTGATTTGAATTGCAGACATAAAGATTTATTAGAGCAGAGTTACCAGCAGAGTGTGAACCCTTTAACAAAGAATGAGTTGCCAAAGACAAGTTGAGTAAGCCAAGCATTGCAGGGAGGAGGAGGGGGTGCTGGGGCAGGTGACCAGGCTCTTCCAAACCCTTCCCTCGGCCGAGCTGCAGAAACTCTCGGGTGTCTCTCGCCGCCCATGGTCGGAGCATCGCAGCCGGGCGGTGCCAGGGTCTCTCCTGCTGCTCTAGCACACTCTTGACTGCCCTGTGTGAGCACAGAGCAAATCA